TTTTATTTTTATTTTATTTTTATTTTATTTTTATTTTATTTTTATTTTATTTTTATTTTATTTTTATTTTATTTTTAGATTACCATACACTACTTGAAGCCAAATACCATTCTTCTGTGCCACATCAGTTCCTCATTTGGAGGAGTCCTCAGTGCTACCTGTCTTTCCTCAGCTGTAGTTGTTGCCATGATATGCATCACAGACACGGTCTGTTTGTCTTGGGCCTCACCTGCGAGGCTGCTTAGAATGGAGGATGTGTTTAAAACTATTATTTAAAATGCATTTAAAAAATAAATGAAGTGGGAGATGGTTTGTGATAGAAGAGGAAAGAAATGAAATATTAAAAAGTCATGTAGAAGGGCTACCCTCCTGCCCCCCCCCCCCCAAAAAAAAAACAAAAAACAAACAAACAAAAAAAACCCTTTAACTCCATATTTCTTTCCATATTTCTTTTAGAATCCGAAGGATTCTAAGCCAATATTTTCCCCATTACGGTAACTGGAGCGTTTTATCCCTCCCCGCCGCGAGGTTTCACATGCACAGGAGTTCCCTTGGGGCTGCGTCTGCTCCTCTGGCCCGGGGTGCAGGAGCACATCCGTGTGCCCTGGGGCAGGGATCAGGCTGCCAAGTGGCAGTGTCCTCATGGGACAGCGGGGACATCCTGGATGGACTGGGCAGGAGCATCAGAGCTGCTAATGGCATTGGGGGTGATCGCTAATTGATGCGGGAGACCCAAGCAGATTAAGGGTTTGCAACTTCTAATTGCTTTTGAAATGATTCACAATTGAATGTCTTGGCTCTTTAGGCAATTTTTGCATTTCTCTCTAGTATCTAGCATGAGGATTTATCTCTAATATATTAGACTCACAGTCTGATCAGAAACTAATAGTTTTGCTCTCAGAAGGGCTTCAGAAGCTTACGGGGAAGCTGTATCTTAGCCAACTCTCTAGGGCCTCTGCTGAGACCTTCTGATCCTTCCCTCGCTCTCATGGTTAGGAAGCTTTGCCTTGTATTTACATTGCATTATTATTACTATTACTATTATTACTATTACTATTATTACTATTACTATTATTACTATTACTATTATTACTATTACTATTATTATTATTATTTCTTTTTTTGAGAGGTGGAGAGAGAAGAGATTCGTTTCCTTTGTCCTGACTTCTAAATTAAAAATCCTCCTCAAAAGTCTTTCCTCTTCTTTTTATTTATTTTTTTTTCTGAAGTGTTTAGGCATTCATATAAAATCTGTTTCATTTTCCTGTTGCTTCTGGTTCTGAGGTGGAAGGCGTCTTGGTGATGGGCTTTTCCCAAAATGACCACAACTGGCTAGGGAAGCTGGTGGTTGGAGGTGCGGGGTGACCCCAGGTATGGGCCCCACCACTGCTTTGTTCATCCTTTCACTTTATTATCTTATCCTTTGAGATAATATAAATATATTATCTCAAATTTCTAGCAAAAGCAATTTTGTTTTGTTTTTGTATAGAGCTTTAGAAACTTTGAAATTAACATATTGGTATCCTTTGGTTAAATATAGAAGATTTATCTTGAACAAAGATTGGTCTGATCTCTTGAAAACCTGTTTTTCGAAGTGACTGCTGTCCTTAGTAGGATAGTTTGAGCAGATTTCTGATACACAGTAAATGCGATCGAGCAATATGATCTCCCTTTTAGTATAAAAATTGAATTTAACTTATTATGATTTGTTCTGACAAATCGTTACTTGATTAACAAATTGGTTTACAGAGCTGGGAATTGTAACGAAAGTGCCTTAGATGTTGGGTCTAATTCACTAATGCTCTCTAAACTTTTCTTCCTTTCAGGACTGTGCACAAAAATATGTTGTGAAGAACTATTTCTACTACTACTTGTTCAGGTTTTCGGCTGCTCTGGGTGAAGAGGTGTTTTATATCACTTTCCTTCCATTTACGTACTGGAACATAGATCACTCCGTGTCTAGAAGGATGATAGTCATTTGGTCTGTAAGTATTTCTGTGACTTGTTCAAACATGTGCTTTTGAATTCTGTAACTGTAGCAAATGGATATTTAAGGATAAGAATAACATACAGACAAACACAACCCTTTTGGATAACAAAGATAACAAAATAATGTATTTCCATGCTGGCATTCAAAATGAATAGATAACAAGGTACTTTTTTCCGGGAATGACTGTATTGTTTTATTACCACTGCTGCTCATCTTGCTATTGATCGTGTCTTTGCTGCCCAAAAAAGAGCACTTTAGACCATCACTGATAAGCTACAGTCCTTTGGGGTTTGGTTGTCAATCTATACTGATTACAGAAATTGAAATTTGGTGAGAAGTTGGATGTGATATCTAGTTTTGTTTCTTTGCAGTGAAACATCAGCTTGACTGAGTTGATTCCGATTAAGAATCTTCTGTCTTTTGTCTAAACAGTAAGATCAGAAATAATAAATACAATTTTAATTGGTGATACGCTTAAAATGAAGCCTGTCTTGGGTGGAAGGCATCAGTTGCCCCATGCCAGTAACACTAATCAGTAAGTTTTATCAAGAGAAGATGGAAAAATGCAGATGAAATCTAGAGGTAGGTGGACACTGTATAGTTAGAGCTGGGGTTTGGCCAGGAGAACACCCACTGCTTCTGGAAGGGGGCCAGCAAAGATGAGAATTGCTAGTCACAGCCTCCTGTTCTCCCAATATTGCTCAAAAAATGGCTCTGCAAAGCAACCCACATGCCCTGCTGAAGACTTGCCTTGCTTCACCTTGCAAGGCATCTGTCTGAGGGCTGGCCAGATCTGACTGACTAATTAAGCCTGACTTGATTAGAGTGCTCAAGCCTCTGATATTACAATTATTAGTATTATTTTTTCCAGTAGAGTTGTGGAGTTGCCTTTTGTACTGAAAAGTGAAAAAGGAAAGATGCTTTAATGTAAAGTCTTGTGACAATCTGTAGTTTTAAAAACATTTTAATTATATGTAATTGTGGCATGGCTAAAAATGCCTGATGGCTCTGTGTTGATGTTATGGCAAGTGCTGCTGGATAGTTCCCTTTTAACACTGTCTGCAGTGAAGAGAGAATAGGGAAGCTCTTCAGCAGGGGAACAGGAGGGATTTTTTAGGGCTTTTTGTGCAGAGATAGGAATGTGTGGAGACATGTGCTGATAAAAACTTGGTTGACCAACATGGGCCAAACAGGAAAAGTGGGTTTGAACTTGAACAATGGAGAAATAGAAGCAGGGTTAAGTGTGGTATTTCGTATTTTGCGTTATTGGGAAGTTAAACCTGTGGGTCTCTGTCACCGTGACATCAGAAATGATGCAATACGGGCCTGAGGAGTTCCTTCCCATAAAAATTAAGAAAGTCTTAATGGTATTTACAGGGCACTTATGAGATCTTGTCTGTAATAGTTTCTATGGTCACCCTCATTTGAGAAAGGTACATGTTGAGGGAACTGGCTCTTCCAGGAGCAGAAACGGCAGCCTAGATAAGGTCCTAACTAAGTGACGTCTGGCAGAGATTGATGCTGCCTGCAAATACCATGGAGAGGAAGGAGCCTCTTAAAATAGCCCCAGGAAAGGATGGGCATAAAGCAACTGGGAATAAGGTGCGTTGGAGCTGGAGGTTTGGAAGCACTGGAGTCAGTTCCTGGGATGGCTTTGGAGCAGGACCCTGGGGAGGATGGTGTGTACAGTGGAGAACAAGGCTGGGGGCCTGAGGAGGGCTTCTCCAACCAGTGTCCTCCAAACCAGTAAGGATTCGCACTGTGGGCTGCACCTTTTCCCTTGGAGATGGGGGAAGGAGCTGCTGGAGGTCTCCAGGCAGTGCAGGATGGAGGCACCGGGTGCCTCCGTGTCCCAGCACGGCACTGCAGCCACACGTGTGCGGCTCCCGGCCGAGACCAGGAAGAGCAAAGGTGAAAACTAGCCCCAGATAAACCAGCTCGCAAGTGCAGTTCAAGTTTATTGCACGCTGCAGCTTAGGAGGTGAAGGGTTAGCATGGTGGTTTGTTTGTCGTTACCCACCTTCCGGGCTAGAAACTTTGTTTTGAGGGGAATTTGAGATTTGAGGTTAGAGACTCACAAGATGAAATGAAAAAAAGCTCCGTTTTCTGACTGCCATTCAGCATCCTTCCTGGATTTTTTTTTTCCTGTTGTTTTTCTACAGGGTGTGTGAATGCAAAACATACACACACCTCTTTTAAGCCTATAAATTTTTAATCTGTGTGATATAAATAATAGCTGGCCAGCATGAACTTTGTCAGGGCAAGCTTGGAAGCTGCCAGTGAATCACAGAGATAAGCCGGTGACTAATGGGAACTGGCAGCGCTGAAGCAAGGGGCAATTCTGCAGCCTCGCAAGGGCTGTTTGGGTGCTTGCAGGTGGGGAGCTCTGGGCTTTGCAGGTATCTGGTGGGTTATCTGGTGGGATAACCAACGCTAGGTTATCTGTGTGCATGGTGCTGCTGACACACTGTGCATCCACTGAGTGCTTGGATGCTGCTTGGCGCCTGATTTGGGCTTGACGGGCTTGTATGTGTGTCCTGAGCTTTATGCAATTGTGCCATTTTACTGGGACAATTTCCTAATGGCCAATAAGAGTTTTTGCCTCAAATGCAAACTGTTCAAAGCACCGTGTGTGATAGGCATGCTGCATATGAATGGTTAAGACTGTGTTCAGGCATGTTAGCTATGCACAATGTCAGAAAGCCAAAATAAATGCTGTATAGACCAGGGCCAGCAGAGGCTTTTGACCCTGCGCAGATAAGACATCCAGGTCAAGTGCAGATGAAGTTTCACTCTGTGTAGGTCTAAGTGCAAGAAGATAAATTTGTTGAAGGTGAATTTTGTGAGTGCTGGTAACAGCATGAGCAGAAACTGCAAATCAGCCTTTCCTAGCTTAGACACCGAGTTAGGATAAGCACTGCCTGAGGTCAGGTCAGGACTACCACGTTTCAGTAACCTGGCTGGAGGTAACTTCAGTGAAGTTTAAATCGAAATTTTGGTGTTTCACTGGTGTTTCACAGCTGCTTCCCAGTTCAGGTGCTAGCTGATAAATCAAGTAGATGCCAAATCCCATCTGTGCACCGACCCTCTGTGTAGGGCAGGCCGGATACATGTGTAAATCGGGAGCAGTGCTCGGGCTGGGAGGCTCCGGGTTCCCTGGGAGCCACCGCCGCCTCTGCTTGCTGTGTGTGTGCAATATGGACTTTAAAAAAATGAATGGATCACAAGTGAATTTGCAGTGAGTGAAAAGCAAGCACTGCTCATGCCTGGTGCTGCCCCTTCCCCGTGCCCGACGTGCTCTCAGCATCGGAGAAGCCCTCGCACAGCCCTTTCCAAAGATGACTTACTCCCTTTCTGTAATGCTCTTATGTATTAGTGCTAGTCATTCTTTAACAAGTGGAAATTGTTATGGCAGAGACTTCAGATAACGTAGCTTAGTCTGCCTTGCTCCTGAGATGGCACCACTGAAGGCAGCCTCCACGTTTTATCTCGTATTAGAGAGTGCAGTTCTGCTTTCAGTCCCCAAACTTAATTAGCTTCCAGAGGTGTGCCTGCATTCACGTGGAGCTGGGAGCCCGGTGCTTCCCGCCAAGCCGTGTGCTGCGGTAGCAGAGCAGCTCTGAGAGACGTGTCGCGTTTGTTGGGGTTGTAAGGGGCAGAAGGGACACGGTGGAAACGTGGCCTTCCCAGCGCGGGTAGGAGCCCGCCGTCTGCCTCAGCCCATCCGCGAGCATCGTGGCTCCTTGCTGAAACCTCCCTTTGGTGCCAGATGTGATTGAGTTACAGCATGGAGCCGCTGCTTCCTAGGATAATGGAAAAACCTTTAATAATTCAGGGCTAGCCTCCCTCCCCGCAGCGGCGGATTTGGCAGCGCTGGGCCCCGGCGCGCGGAGGGCTGCGGGAGCCCCGTGCTCACGGCCACATCCTCTGCCCGCAGGTGGTCATGTACATCGGGCAGGTGTCCAAGGACCTCCTGAAGTGGCCACGGCCCCTCTCGCCGCCCGTGGTGAAGCTGGAGAGGAGGACGGATGCGGAGTACGGGATGCCCTCCACCCACGCCATGGCCGCTACCGCCATCTCCTTCTCCTTCCTGAGCGCCACCACCAACCACTACAAGGTGAGCAGGTAGAAAACCACAACAGCAGAAACGAGACGTTTGGATGTGTCCCCTACACCGCAGAAAACACAAATCTGGAGCTGTGGCCACTTCTGGAGGAGCTTCCTGCATTTCCATAAGCAGGAGCTTTCCCTATAGCCATCCTTGGCTGGCACATAATAGATTCAGAAAGAAGTTCAGTGGATGTGTCCTTCTTGGGATACAAGACCAGCCCAGGATGGCTGCTGGGCTCTGCTATCACACTGAGGCTGGGGAACTCACTGTGATGGTTATTTTTTATTTCATTTTACTACTCCTAACATTCATTTCCTATATGCAGGCAGTGATGTCCTGGCTGCATCATACTGAGGTGTTTCTCCACCTTCTGCCATGCGTTTCAGAGAGGAGCCCGTGTATCTGAGAGGGCCCTGGCCTGATGGGCACCTCTCAGTGTGTGGACATTGTGGGGTCCTGTTTGGGACACCCTGGGTGACACCACCCATCTGGTAAAAGTTGTGGGGCTGCAAGTAGCAGAGGTGGACTCTGGTCTTCATTTAGAAGATGACATGATGGTTTTATATAAGCCTGGCTATAAGAAGTGAGAACTTTGGCGCTGAGGCCTGTGGACCTTCATGCCCATGGATCAGACTGTCTCTTTCTCACTGCTCAGAAACTGCCATGGAACAGTAAAGCTGCTGTAAAATAATTAAGCGGTTTAATTGCTTCTGTTAAGGAGAAAAAATCCACTGTTACATTATGCTGCTGTCTTGCAAAGCTGCCCCAGTAATCGATTACTGGCCTGGATGGACTCCCAGCCCACCTGCCAAGGAGGCGCCGAAGCAGATGTATGCACTTGGGAGGCTCGGAAAAGCGAGGGAAAAATAGGGCTTTATGAATCAGGAGTGACATCTGTGGCCAGGGTCTGAGCTAGCTGTGTCAGGGGCTCGGATGTGCCAGAGGGGAAGGGTCACAAGTGAGTTTGGCGCTTAAGGGAGCTCCAGAAGAGGCTTTGCCCTGACCTATAGCCACTGTGGTCATCTGCTCGGTCAGGAGACTCTCGGGAGTCTGTGTGTCAAATTGAGGGAATTTATTGCATTTTTTCTATATTTGGTTTTGTTTTATTTTTCAGGAAGAGTCCCTTACAGACTAAAATGCAATGCAGCAACCTCATCTTCAGTGGAGCCCTAAAACACAATCCAAATGAGTGGTTTAAGTGTTAATGTGCTCATTTTTTTTTTTTTTTTAACCAAATCTGATTTTATTTTTCCTTTCTAAATACTGATTTTTTTTTTTAAATACTTGATCCCATATTATTGGACAGCTCAGACAGGAAATTATGTGAAAACAGCTTTATAAGGTGTTTAAATGTGGCAGCAAAGAGTGGTCCTGATGGCCCTAAGAACTGGGCTGTCGCTGCAGCCTAGGCATGGATTTTTCCCCTCCTGCCTTGTTGCCTGAGCAGTATTGATCAGGCCAAATCCAGGTATCCCATTTCCATCCCAGCCAACCCAAAGTAGCACCTAAACCTTGGTGGCCGCTCCTAGGATGTGCTCTGCCTTTCCCTCTTCCTTAAGGCCTTCCCTAGCCTTCGGGATGCTCTTCCAGACGCGTGCTGAGGGGGAAGCAGTGGGTGTTGGTGACGCGGGTGTTCTCTCTTTCCGCAGTACCCCTTTGAGCTGGGGCTGACGGGCGCCCTGCTCTTCTCCACGCTCGTGTGCCTCAGCCGGCTCTACACAGGGATGCACACCGTGCTGGTAAGTGGAGCTCCCCGCGCCCATCCCGCTTCCCACTCCCGCCTTCCCAGCGCTGGGCGCTGCCGGAGCCCCACGTGAGCAACGCCACTAAATCCGGGACTAAATCCGGGGCTGCACCTCCTGGGAGGAAGCCCCCGGGCTACCGCTGTTGAACGTGAAAGGGAATTACGCGTGCAATTAAGGAAGGGAATTACGCGTGCAATTAAGGAAGGGAATTACGCGTGCAATTAAGGAAGCCGCGAGGGTGGCGTGGCATGTGGACTGCCCGCCCGTGTTTTGCAACGCTAATTGCAAGGAATGCACTTGAGCAAGCGCCGCGGCGCTGCGGGGCCGCGCTCCAGGGCAGCAGCTTCCGCGCTGGCAGCGGGAGCCGCGCGCCCGGGAGTGCCGGGGAATTGCGGCTCCCTGAGTCACCGGAGCAAGGGCGCTGGGCACCGAGGTCCCTGGCACTGTGCAGGCACACGAGAGCTCACAAAGCCTTTACCACAGGCTTTGAGAAACACCAAACGGGCAGGAAACCCAAAGAAGTGAGGTGCGCAATTCCTGCACCCAAAATAGGCTCAAAACCCGTTGTAGGATAAACTGTGGGCCGGGGTTGCTTGGAGAGAACGATGTCCATTCTGCTTGAGGAGCAGATTTCGACACGGCCTCGCTTGCAGAGCAGCTTCCTGATGAGAGGGCCTGGTATTGCTCTCCTGCGTGTGGTTATTGGAGGGTGACCCAAGTCCCTGGCATGAGCATGGGCTGGTACATGGGCGTGCTACCCATGTAGGAAGGGGTATTACGTCTCTTATTAAGTAATAACTGTGTTTGCTCTAATAAGGAGACTTGATGGAGTCAAAGAGAGCCCTTAGTGAACCTTAGGGTTTGCTATAAAATATGGCCTGCCCTTCCTTTCAGCCCTGGTGGACCTAAGCAGTATCTTAAATCTGAGCTGGAGACATCCTTTCTTAACGGGTGACCCTGAGTCAACCAGTAAAAATTCTTAGCATATTTCCCTTGCTGTTCCACGATAATGAAAGACGCCTCTAAATTTAGATGGATTTTAGGGTAAAGAAGAAAAAGTCCTTTGTGTCTTTGGCATCATTAAAAAAAAAAAAAAAAAAAAAAAAAAGCTTTAAAACAAAAAAGCTCCTCAGTTCAACTGTGGAAAGTCCTGCCCATCAACAGGGCTTTGCTGGGCTCCTCTAGAGTGCAGAGAGCTGGTAATATGTTTCTGTTTAGAAGAGCATGGCCCTGCTCCTAAATGAAACCATGAAGGGAATTCAGGCATTAAGTGACTGCATACAAGACAGAGCAGGAAAAGTCTTATTATGGCTTTGGTTGGAAATGCCAGGGAATATTTGGGAATGCCACCATAGCTAGGAAGCCATTTGATGCTCCAGGGGTCTTTTATCGGTGTCTGCAGTTCCAGCCTTCAGCTGGAGTTTAGCTGTAATGGAAAGAGGATAAAAATGGTCTTGCCTTCAAAAAGCCAAACCGCATGGTTTCGCAATCTTTAAAAAAAGAGGGGAAAAATCTGCTGTAAAATCCTGTACCAGAAGTTCAGCGCCATGAGCGCACCAATAGTGCCGCTTCCAGCTTTGGACCGTGCGAGGACGTGCCCAATTTTTCCGGGAAGAATCCCAAAAGTAGCATTTGCCGAACCGCTGCTACTGCCCTGTGCACACGCACAAGTCAGCAGTATTTTAAATTGCCCAAATCCTGCCTCTAATGTATCACATGCAACTGGGTTTTCATGTCAGTTGTTTTTCTTTGCATACTTTCCCGTAGTAGAGGAAAACAGCTAAGACTTGCAGCACTAGAAACGCGATACGGGGTCATTCTTTAGGTAGCAAAGCAGAATTCCTCCTTTTCTGGTAAAAAGTGTGGAAGCGAGGCCTCTTTTGCTTGCAAGGTTGAAGCAAGGGAGCTGAGCAGGCCTGACGCAGCAGCAGATGGGCTGCGCAGGGAGCCCCGTCACAGGCCCACGTGGTGCTCGAGGCGTCCAAGGACCAGAGCGCCTGCGCTCGATGCCCCCCGAGCCCTGATAATCTGCTTAGAAAGTTTAATGCATGTATCTTATAACTTTGCTTAGGAAGTTTAATAGACAAGAAGAAGTAATTAATTCTACCCGGCTAAATATCTTCTTAAAGCACTGCTCTTTAGCTCCCCAACCTTTCCAACCTTTCCTTTTAGTGGAAGTTTGTATTAGGAGTATGGATAATGCAAAATATGAGTAGCTTGAAGTTCAATGTGCTGTGAATCTATTGCCTGGAAGCCGTAAACACCTGAAGTTCAAGCATATTTGAGTAATGCATTCGGTAGCAAGTAATGAAATATTTCTGTTGTGGAGAAAAGTCCTCCCATTTCTGCCTAACTATAACTGAAGGTCTCATAAATAATTCATTTTAGACTGTGACCAAGCATAGAAATGGTCAACTGTCATGACTTCATAAAAAAGATACAATCTTGAGAATGGGACATTTTTGTATGTGATTAACTATAGCTTTTGCAATCAGTTTCATGGTAAGAAAGAAATTCTGCTGGCTCTGATGTCCAGAGAGAGGCACAGTGAAACCTCCAGCATTGCTTTTAACGTGGCCGCTGCCGCTGATGTGCAGAATACTTTTTTATAGGTTGTCTTTCACTTCTTTTCCTTTCCCAGCAGTGTTGTTGACAACAGCCAAGCTCTCCGAACAGCTTGTTTGCCTCTGTTAATAAATTAGGTTTTAACTGTGCGCTTGCCTCAGGCACTGCAGCACAAGCCAGGTCTCAGAGGCCTGGGCGATGGATTTCTTGCTATTTATTCTTACCCAGCGGTGCTGTCTCTTGCTGAGGGACGCTGGATCCGTGCACTGTGTCCCGCAGCTCTGTGCTCGTTTTCCTTGGAGGTTTCCTGGATTGGGGCTTCCTTTGGGAAAAGAGCATCCTCCGCTTATGCATCCTCCGCGTATCCTTTGCTTATGCAAGCAAAGCTTGTGGTAATCCTATTGATAGGAAGGAATTACTGGAAATTATGGGAGGGGATGAGTTTCTATCAAGATCTCTTACCTTAACAGCCGCCCAGGAGATCCAGTTGCGTAAAAGTCTTTTCCATTGAAGTTTGGTACAGAGGGGATTTTGGTTTGACAGAAAAAGCCTCTCAAAAGGGCTGTCTTTGCAGGACGTGCTCGGCGGGGCGCTCATCTCGGCCGTGCTGCTGGTGCTCGTGTGCCCGGCGTGGGACTCCATCGACCGCGTGCTGCTCACGAGCCCGCTCTGCCCGCTGCTCTCCCTGGCCGTGCCGCTGCTCCTGTGCTACAAGTACCCCAAGCTCGACTCCTACAGCCCCACGCGGGCGGACACCACCACCATCCTTGGCGCGGGCGCTGGAGCCACTGTGGGCTTCTGGCTCAACAACCAGTACGTGGCGGCCGCTTCCACCAGTGACGGCTTTCGCCCGGGCTTCCCGCTGCTCTCGGGCCCCATGCTGGTGGTGGTGCTGGCCCGGTTCCTCGTGGGCATCGGCATCATCCTCGTGACGCGGCAGCTCGCCAAGAGCCTGGTGCTGGGCGTGCTGCGCTACTGCTACAAGTTCCCCATGGGAGATCTGGAAGCCAGGAGGCGCCTGGAGGTGGAGGTGCCCTATAAATTTGTGACGTACTCCTCGGTTGGTTTCAGCGCGACCGTGATCGTGCCGCTGCTGCACCAGGTGCTGGGGCTGATCTGAGCCCCGTTCCGCAGAGACGCAGGTCCTGGCACCACCGTTTTGGAGATGCAATGAGTTGTTCCAGGCTGGTGACTTGACTGAGAAACGTTTTGTGCCTTTCTGCACTGGCAGAACACCGCACCGTGAGGATTCACGGGGCGGCTGTACACGGTGACCTGGGTTAGGAACCGGCTCTGCTGCCTCCCTCCGGCCGAGGCCGGTGGCCCAGGTGAGGGGACGTGACAAGCTCGGGGTGCAGGGCTCGTGGATGGGACATCACGCTGGGGAGGGCGGCGCGGCGCCCCACGGAGCTGCTCATTCCTGTCCTTGTCATTATCGTCCTCAACATCCACGTCGGGGTGTGTGGTTTTACCCATCACAGCTCTTGGCTTATTTAAGACAAGAAAGACAAACCCAGCGCAGAGCAGCTGAGTGGTTCCTGGCGGGGTGTTGGTGAGAAGCCCTCCTCTGGCAGAGCCTTTTCCCCCAGAGCCGGGCGGTTGTCACCGCAGCTCCAGGGGAGCAGGGCTCCATGCTGGGAGCTGCGCTGGGACGAGCCCAGTGACTGCAGCGGCACCTCGGGGCGCTGGGGGTAAAGCGCCCTGATCTCCCGGTGCCACGCAGCGTTGCAGTGGGTCTGCCCCACATCCCGTGTACGGACTCGTAGCGGGGGAGCTCAGGACTGTTCACAGGAGCGTCGCCGCTTCCAGGCTGCTTATTCCAAACCTCTATTTGCGCTGGACCCATGAGCTGCTGGTAAAGGGCAGCGGTGACTGTGGTCTGCAGGCTGGGAGAAGCATCTTGCTGTAGTGGCTGTCGTGCTTCATGCACAGCCTGTGTGCCTTTTCCTGGCAGAACTGAGGGGAAAAGCGGTGTTTTAAACATGTACATTTGTGTTCTTGCGCTGTGACTCTTGGTATAAGCTGCAAGCAGCTCAGCAGCTGGAGCGCCCAGTTGTGCCCGCGTCGCTGTGGCCGTGCACCTGGGAGAGCAGCGCGCTTTCAAAGCGAGGCTCCTGCTCCCCGTGCGAAACGGGAGCAGAAACGCCAGCGGCCGCTGGGTTTGCGCGGGCTGGGGTCGCTGCTCCGCGTCGGGCTGCATCCCTGCACGCGGGAGAGCGGCTGGAGCGCGGAGCAAGGATCCCAGCCCGCTGGATGCTGAATGCTGCATGGCCGGCCATGCGCTCCTACCTGCAGCTTCCTGCTCTTGATTGCTGCTCTTTTCTGCCATGGAAAACCTATAAATTCCACAGGAGTGCTTGGGTGAGCTGAAGTACCTACAGCTATTTTTATCTCTTACTGTGTTCACCTGCCCATGAGCTCTGCTGTACGTGCAAACCATCCTTGGTTCAGGTTTTAAAATACAGATGTTTTCCAAGACCTGGTGAGTTTCTTTGTTCGTGTGAGCGATGGACCAGGGGGAGTGACTTGCAGCTCAGAGAGTGCAGCACAGGACTAGGCTGCTGCTTTGGGCTGCTGCTGGCTGCCGTGGGCTCGTGGTCTCCATCCCTGCGGTGGCTCCGTGCGGGATGTGGCCTCCTCTCGCCGCTGCGCCTGCAAGCACAGGATGCAACCACGGTGGGCAGCTGGAGGGCAGACGGTCCCAGTCTTTCTCCTGCTTAATACTGCACCTCTTTGTCAAAAGTACTTTTGAATCAGCAGCAAGGATAAACCCCAAATTAAGCACCTGTATCCGGCTGAAACCAACCAATTTCCAGCAGCACCTGGATAGCGCCCAAGCGATGACTTTGGTCTCCTCAGTGCTCTGCTCCCCTTTGCTGGTCAGCTCCGTGCTGATGCACACTATGCACTGCCAGCAGCACCGAGGTAAAGATAACGCATGATTTGGGATGACTGCTGAACAAGGGAACTTCTTAGAAGTCCTTAAAAGTACTTTATTTTGAAATACTTAATGTTGAAAAGATGTTCGAAAGAGATCACCACTGGCAGGTAAGAGTTGCTCGGTGTCAGAAAGCATCTCTAAACCGAGGTCAAAGAAGAAAACAAATGGCAGTGGATTTCTGTAGCACAAAGCTTCGTGTGGGGTGCCTTGATTATTGAATACCTCTATGTGCAAGCTGTAAATGTCAGATAATGGTTATCGGGCCAGGAAAGGCAAAGTCCTGCAATAAATATGCTGTAGTTGTATGAAGTTTCCCTCTTGCCAGGATTCCCGGATAATCCTGAGCTCAGCACGGTGGCAAAGGTTGAATTTCAGTGCTGTGGCAGCCTTGCAGGCGCTGGTGACATTGCATGTAGTCCTGAGGGGGTTCAGCAGTGCCGAGAGAGCCTTTTAACCTTCCTGATGACTCTGCTCTTCTGCTTTAAGCAAGTAATGGTGCTTCCTAGCACCAGAGCTCATGTCCTGCTTGTGAAGTACTCGGGTACTGACGCAAAAGGGCATGGAAAAGGGGAATGCCCGATGCTGGAAGCCTGGCACCACACAGCACTGCTGCTCAAGCGCCTCCTTCCAATCTAATCTGGTCTTTACACTCAAAAAGGCAGCAAATTCGCAGGAGAATTGGGACACCCAGAGAGTCAGGAGACCTTGTGCAGAGAAATGTATTTAGTGCATGCAAATATGCCTGTACTCTGCTGAAATGCAAATCTGCCTTATTGTCGTCCTAATCCCCATGCATGACACACTAATAAACAGGGTTTTTTAATACTTACCATCTGTGTTACAGATTGCTTCCCACACTGCGAGCTTGCTTGGTTACAGTTCTGTAGGCATCATGGAGAGATATATCCTGCAAATGACAAGCCGGATAATCCCCGGGGAGGCTGTAAAATGTGAGTTGCAGTTTTCTCACTCGCTCTGTGCGCTCCAGTCGCTTGTGCTGCCTATGGCTCTATCTGTCTTCTCATTTCATGTCTGTCACACCGAGACAACTAAAATCCACGCTTCCACGTGAGGGAACAGTGGGCTTTCCAGCTGGGTAACTCTAGTGCCTTTTTTTGCTATAGATTAGTGTTTTTAACAGAAAGCCCTGCCCGCTGCCTTCCCACCTGTTAGCAGCAATGTTGGATCCACCATTTCAAAGCCATAGTGGGTCCAGAGAAAGGAGGTCTGTGCAGACATGCAGCTCTTAAAACTGTGATCTGATCTTATCATCCCTGTTGCTCATCTCTTCTTGTTTAGTGTGTCTCTATAACCCACTTCTCCACAATCACCCCTCGGAGATGGGTCTAACCTTGGGCTGTCCCCTCATGGATCCCCGAGGCTCCCACAAGGGAAAAGAGCCACAATGCGTTGGCCTAAAGTAAAATATTTACCAGTGTCAGCAGGCAGCATTAGAAATGGGTATAATATTGCAAAATTGCTAACTTCATTAGGAAGCCGGCAAGGAGGTAGCTTGAAAGCCCTGGCCTGGCCACCCAGGCAGCTGCGCTGCACCAGGAGGGACGGACGGAGCTCTCGGTTTCTGAGCCAGAAGCACCACGGAGCAGACCCCGGCTGGCCTAACTCTCACCAAAGGTCCTCCCAGAGGAAAATCCTGCTCCGTGACAGTCCGAGAGAGGCAAAACTCTGCTGTGCTGCCCCGCAAGCGCAGCAGGGAACAGGCAAACTTGTGCAGACGACAAACGTCGCGGCCTCGCTCTCGCCGAAGTCTTCTCATTTTTCAGCGCCTCCTGCAAAAGGCCACGGGCGTGTGCTCTTAAATGCATTTCCCCAATTTGGTTTGAAGCTTCAAAACCACTAGGCTTACTTCAGCCATGAAAAAGAATTAATTTTCCCCAAGCCCTATTTGAATTTCTAAAGGATCAACAGTTATGTCTGGAGTAGGGAAGCAGATATTACACACATCTTGCTTACAAAATAGCTCTGGTTTTCATGAAACAAGTTTATTTTCCTCCCCCAGCCAATGATGAGCACATGACAACCGTACAGAATAAAAGCTCAGCTCCTTAGTTCTGCTCACATTCGCTCAACATTTGCTCTAATCAATTATCTTATTTCATGCAATAAGAAAAGAATGAGATTCCTGTTATGCAGCCATAATCGGTTACAGTATGAAGCTGTGTCTGTGGAACATTTCTGATTTTGAGAACTAATCATGTGCTCTGCCATTACATTTCTCTTGTAAAACGCTGGGCTTTTACCCAGCTTGTTTCTTCTGCCCCCTGCCCCACGCCTTTAAAAGCAGCAACAGTGCAGTCCAGTCCCAGACACCACATTCTTGCGTTGCAGAAGCGAGTCTAACTGCAGAGGAAGGAACCTATTTACCCAAGGAGCCAGACTGTGTTTTTCTAGTTTATTAAAACATAAAAGCACAAGCAGATGTTCCCTGCAGAGGAACAAAGGAGCCGAGGGTGCTGCATGCGACAGTGGTCAGCTGTAGGACGGTAAAAACGCTGCCTTCACACGAAAGGTTCAATAGTGATTTCCAAGGCAGAGCACGGCATGGTGAGCTCGAATTTGGTGATAACATCAGGGTGTAGGACTCCAAATTTCCCAATGCTCTGACCTTTGGCAATGACCTCAGCACAGCGACCGGGAAAGAAAGCAGAGCCTGTAAAGAAAGTGAGAGAAAAATCAATATTTCTCCAGGCCAAAGAAGTCAATAGGCATTTTACATGGAGAACAAAGCTCTCAGTATTAAACAGTTCTCCTTGCTAAGATGCTAAGAATGGGGTCCCACTTTCTTGCATTAACAGTTGTCATGATTGATGGAGAATGAGGAAAGACTTTGAGCTAAAAATAAAACGCGAAGCCTGAAGCACGGGCCTTTTTCACACTCCAGTTGCTTTGTCAAAGGGTCGCTTGTGACAGAAAGCCACAGAGATCCGTGAGTCGGAGGGATTCTGAAATTAAGAACTTGTGCAGGCTTTGGGTCCTTTAGCACCTGAGTGTTTGCCACCTTTCTGTTTGGGGAAATAAAGCATCCTGTGATGTGAGCGCCGGGCAGGAATGTCACGCTTGGCTGCAGGTCCCATAATTAGAAACTTAACCTACATTCCTCATCTGCAGAGGAGCTTTTAAACAGTTTCATACATGCTGTAAAACTGAAACAATGAACGGCCCAGAGAAACCCCCCAGGTCCTTTAACTTCAAACCGAGACCCAAGTTTTTAAATATTAAGTATTATTTAAAAAAATAGCTGGACTGACTGTGGAAGACTCGGAGGAAGACGGGGCCTCAGAGGAACCACAGCCTTGCCTGTGTGTGAACTTACCTGTGTGCGTGCAGGTTAGGCCAGCAACACGTTCCAGCTTGCCCGTGGCAGCCACAGTGCTTTGCTTGTTGTTGTTTCTGCCCTCACAAGTGACATTTTTCCCCGC